AACATTAACCAATAAACTGTCCTTTTACAAAACATATGGAACTTTTAAGTGTTGTGTATCAGCTCGCTGTTAATGTCAGGATGGTGACTAATCCCCGGAACACTGGTAACACATTATGTTGTTTGTGTTCTAGCCTTCCGCAGACAGCCGAGCACCAACTGCATTCTCCATAGTTTTAATGAAATCACCATCACTGAGATTTCACTGGATTCTGAAACATTAAAGCTTTAAATCTGGCGTAAACGATTACATGGGACCTCGACAGGACGATGGGTCGCGCGACGGAACGTTTTCATCGACGACGAAGACGACGATCCACTCAGACTGCCACCAACGGTCGGGCTATGCATGCATTGCGTCCGACATAAGACATTCAACAGGGCGCGGACGGAATTCGTCGGATCATGGTCGGACGCAGTGCACGACAGGCCTTTTCAAACTATATGATGATCAAACTTAACATCTGACAAATCAAAACTGTGCCAGGAATACGAACGTGTCCAACAAACACACGCGTTATGTCACACATAATACGCACGTGTTTACGCTAAATTTTATGGGAAGTTAGCTACAATATCAAAGAGGCGGGCTTATTGGTAAGATAATGGTTTTCAATAGAAAACAATTTGTCTTATCACTCTGAGTTTACTATTTATAAGGAGCTTTCGATTTGCGCGACGACGCGACGCTAGAACGAAATCAGTCGAGAGTGACCGTCCTACAGACCGTCCTACGTTCTCTGCATACGTAGATTTGGCCAAATTGCGTCCTAGAATCCACGCGACGAGAACATAACGTTCCAGCATGTGCAGATAACTTTTAGTGACGTCATTATGTTTTACGTCCTACCGTCTCGTGCAATCGAAAGCTCACATACAGGCGTCTGATTCTCTGAATAATGCAGGAGAGACCCGGATTAAAATTCTGATTGAAGTAACTTTTTAAGTTTTGCAGATTCCTCTTTTCAATTTTGGTGCTTTTTAAAACCTAACCCGTTAAATATATCTTTGCTGATTATTGTACTACTTTAAAGAATATATCTTCGTAGAATATTGCACAGTTCTAACCATAATATCCAATTTCAAATTTGACTACTTTTGTTTCTTTTTTTTTCGAATATGTACATCCTATTTGCTTTGTTAAAAACAGGCCTACTTTTTATTCATTGTCTTCTTCCTGATGTAACTCCGCACTTGCGTTTAACAACTTTATATAGGCCTATTATAATAGACTAATCCATCAAATTTCAAGATGCTCTTTCCAACTTTAATCCAGATTCCACTGACTGCGTCTACTATGATGGATAACCTGCAGAAAGACAGTACTTGGACTACTCTTACAAATATCGGTATGATGTCACACTTTCTACTCTCACATACCTGTATAATATAAAATCCCAATCAATCATCCATATAAGCGCCTTCACAAGTTTATAATAAGTATACAATATAAATCTTTTATTTTCTTTTTCTTCCACTTTATTCAAAATAATATCGTATTCAATACAGACATATGCAGTAAAAGAGAAAACAAATTACACAATGTTTAAACTAATAAGTTTCAATAAATCTTTCCAAGTTCCCAAGAAATAATCAAGTTTATAATGAATACTGGCTATGTCTAAGTTTGAAAATAAACAATTTCAATGTTTGCCACATTACTGCAGGCGGTTTCTTTTGCATTTTCCGTTTGTTTAAATGACTACCGTATAAATGCAAAACAAAATCTTGCTTCTAAATATATCATAGCCTAATATAGACCATATTCTGTGTGAATATAAAGCCTTTAATAATGATAGTAATAACCACATTAATGATATATAGTGAGCGTTATTTTGGTCCAATATACTGTGAGATATACGTGAAACCAACTACAAAATTGATACTATATATATATATATATATATATATATATATATATATAGCTATTTTTACATATTGTGTGAATGTAAAGACTTTAATAATAATAGTAATAATAACACTATATATATATATATATTCATATATACTTATTATACATATATAATATTCATACTGTATATGATATTATACAGGTAGGCCTATATACATATACATACACATATATATATTTATATATATATATATACATATATATTATATATAAGCGCCTCTGCATCCTTTATCATAACACTTTCGATTCATATTTTTGTTTCATATTCTCATAAGCACTAATATTTTTAGCTGGATTACATACTCATTTTTTGACTTTGAGTCACCTTCTGAGACATGTAAAGATAAATGCGGTGATGAACAATGATAATGTGGAAGAACTTAGATAAATTGCTGTTTGACGAAATTTCAATGGAGCTACATTCAAATACCCATAAACTAGAACGGATAGAGGGACAATACATAACAAGATCTAGATTTGTAGCATTTTTCTCGAAGATTTCCAACCATTGTTCATAACTTATCTTGACAACGATGCACACAAAGGGATGATATAAATCGTACTCATCATAACAAGTTGTTCATGTTATTTAAGAAGAGGATATTCACTTGTGGAACAGGTGATTCGCATTAGAACAGGTGAAACACGGTGGAAAATCTTTAAACGGAAACGCACATTGTCATCCGTTCTCATCATGTAATCCAGCGTAGGAACTGCCGATGGGATATCGTTTAACATCAGAAGAAGAGAAAGCACGACTTAGACAATGTAAAGGAAAAGAGCTGGAAAGAATGCATTACAATCGTTAGCTATCTGCTTTGATTTCTTCATTGACAACATCGCATCGTTATATTGACTTTATGATAGTTGATGTGCATTTAGGAAATCTTTTAACGTAAATTCTTGAAGCAGATGCTTGGAATTGCTAACGGTTTGTCGTATTGTTGCTCTGTTCTGTATTCGCTAAACATTTCGTCAACAACTTCTAGTCTGTATGACTCCAGTGGAGAGTCGGTTGTTTTACATTAGGGGAGAGTGAAAAAAAAGTCATCTGCAACCACCCTGTGTTGGCGATTACTAGAGAGGAGCAGGAACAATAGGGACTAATTTTGAGCTAACATACTTTTTTTTATATCTTAGTAGTAATGATCACATGTCATCATCATACGTGCCAAAATGTGAAACAAACAACTTGACATTATACAAATTTCACACAACATAATTAAGTAAACCTAATATTAAGAGTATGTTGCAGTTTTTGCTCATCATCATTTTCGCTCTTTAAGTCTTTAGTAAACCTGTTGGAGTGTAAATGTAGTTCTCGGGGGCATTATATAGGCAGACAGCAAAACATTACTTGTGGCTCGTTTGCTAATGTTATAGAATAAAGTACAAATTACAGTTTGACTGTGGAAGCTAGATACTAAATGGTGAGTTGCAAACATCAAAGACATGGCTTATATTTATTAATAAATAATAGTGTATAGTAATAAACTAACATATACAAATGAGAAAATGTAACAAAGATTTGAGACAAGTTAAGTGAGATAGAAAAGAAAGGTCAGTTGATATTATTAGGCATGCAAAGTGAAAGGAGGGAACACATATTGTTTAGTTTGTGGCCCCTTTGAGAGGAAAGAAGTTGGCTAGATAGAGAAACTAAAAAAAAATACACAATCCAGCAACAATTCGCTATACGATTGACATGAAACAAAAATATCCGAAAAAAATAATGGAAGCCAAATCTATAACAGATATAGCCAATGAAGAAGTGTTTAATTTTTTCGCATCAATCAGTAAACTTTTATTCACTTGCACACAGTAAAATACAATACGATAGCAAGATATTAAGATGCAGGCTACTCAATTCTACACTATTAATTATTTAACATTTAACATTCTACGTGAATGACTCGGATACCGTTTACATATTGCTTCCTGTGCCAGAGAACTCACCTGAGTTACCGTTGTGTATATGGACGCCATTTAATTTAATAACGTAAAACCCGTAAAAGCCCGTCTCGAAAGAAGCCTCATCATCAGACCAGGGAGGAATTAGTTTAGAATTCCCCTATGTTCAGACTGACGTTATCTTTAATGATTATCATTGTGTGTCAGTATCAATTGTATTTTATTGTACTAGCATGGTTCTAATTAAAAGGAAATATTAAATTTCGAATTCCATAGTTGAAAAATGTCGTATAGTAGCAATGCCAAAATTTACATCATTCATTTTGAAAAGAAGCTCACCTTTTTAGTTTCCAAAAAGTAATCTCGACTTTTGTTCATTCATGTGTCTAGTTGGGTGAATGTGCTGATGCCGGAGTGTAAATAGTATTTTATTGTACTAGCATGGTTATAATTCATAGAATGTTAAACAGATCTTCGAATTCCATAGTTGAAAAATGTCGTATAGTGGCTCCAAAATTTACAGCATTCATTTTTCAAAGAAGCTCCCCTTTTAGTTTGCAAAAAGTAATATCAAAAGAAGCCCATCTTGAAAAGAAGCTAAACCAAGGGTCCTAAAAAATAAGCCCAGTGCTTCTATTAAAGGTTTTACGGTAGGCCTATTTGTTTATGGACCTTGAAAACAACTTTTCCACAAGGTTTTACATCTCTTCAGGCTCATTACTTAAGTGTGTGTGTTTTTTTTAAATATGCATAATCAGTAAATTTACAATTGAGCGTTTGGCTAATTGGTATGGTTCCTGCCTCTTACACGCCAGGCCCGGGTTCGATACCCGGCTCTGTGTCGAGTATTAAATTCGGGTCTTTTATAACAAAATAACAGCTCCTCGAATAACCCTCTCAAAAGATTTAGGCTGTTAAGGACCATGTTTGTATCAGTCTGTATCCGTTTGATGTCTATTTTAAGGGGGAGCTAATTATTAGCCACTAGTCAATAATAGCTATGTGGCTATCCTGCCTCCCAGGTTGTATACCGAAGGAATAAAAATAAATAAATAAACACACATACACTATTGTATTACAATCCAAATACAATAGATTTTAATTTAACAATATAAAGACCTCATCATCTTTGAAAATAATTTCTTTATACGATAACTTGTTTTGATCGTTCATTGTAGACTTTTGGTACAAATATGGTACAACAAACTCTCTGTCGTATTCAGGGAAATTGCGAGGCAACGATCACCAATTGTTGCAATGGCCTTGGTTGGAATGTTTAAGTTGGACACACTGCACCAACGATCGTCGGTCGACGCGATCACGGAAAGAACGCAACGTGACGATGCGCTCGCAAATGATCGTTTTTAATTCTCAGAGTGTCAGCGGCATTCAGCAGACGGTGTCGAGTCGTCAAGAAGTCACGGAGAGTGGGGATGGATTCGTAGACGGTCCTAGGACAGTTGTATGACACAGAGTGTTGGTGAGGGCTTTTGCACATGGGTACCGGTATACAATGTGATTTTTGTAGTAAAAAGTATGAACATTAGTAAAAAGATATTCATTTTGATTCTCTGTTATTGAAGGTTATTACCTTGTTGGATCCTTTTAAAAGAGCTATTAAATATTATAATAGATTTTACGATTCCTGATGAAGTTTACTGTGTAGACGAAAAGTAGAGCTAAGTGCTGGAATTTGTGATTTCTTATATTGTTCTCCATTAATGAAAGACTAAAAATCTTCAGAACAATATGATAATTAGATATATCATTATTCATCTATTACTTATACAAATTATTTCTGTTTGTTTCGCTTTAACAGTGGTTCATTAATTCCATACACGAACGGACACTAAGACCATTTTGACAGTACCGTAAATGATCCCCTCTTGTACAACCGCACTGGTCCCGGCTGCTGGGCGATCAGGTATACGTTTCCCCTTCAGCCTGTGAACTAATCATTAAAGAACATGGACAGATACTTCAAAACCTTGTAACCAAATCCTCTCTGTTGGTTTAGAATTTAAATCTTAGATTAACAATTATAATCTAGTATCATGACCTTCCTTCAGTTTATTTTAGAATTAACTTGTATTCATTCGTTCCGTAATTTCGCCGCCACCAATAATTGTTCTATCTACTACTGTCTGTAATCATGAATAATACAGATTACCTACAAAAAAGGAACCTTTGTTGTTCAATTTATTCATACCTATGTTAATTGATTACATACATCACTTTGCAGAAGTTTTGTAAGTTTGCAATACAGTAGTTTATTCCTAGGGAGAGAACAGTAAACACTTGTGTTTTTGCGATACATAGTTAAATTATAGTTATACGTTTTAAAAGTGAAAATTATGAGGATTTGATATCTGTCTTGGAGGTGAAATTAAACTTTTACGCATTCTCAGAAACGGTTCTGGGATAAGATTGAGCATTTTGTTGCTTTGAAATAAATTATAAAGAAAGTTTTGTCGCGATGAAGAGGAGATTGAGCTCAAAGTCGTCCGTATCTGTGTGTGGATTCAGGGTAAAAGTTCAGAGGATACCAACAGGTTATTGTGACGCGGTTACTACGCAGACAGACGACGACGGTAAGTTTTAATTCGGATGCTCACAAATGTGCATGATTGCATTACCTGTGCACAAATTATTGCCATACTGATTTAAAAGTATTTTTGGTTTAAATACTCGGTACACTTAAGCTAAATCATCTCAGTTCGGTAGATTCCCAACAGAACGGTAGGCCTAATCTTGGGTTCAAATCTAGATATGTTTTTTTCTCAATATTCTACTGCTACGAAACCCAACATCTGGGTCAATATCCGTTAAAATAAATTACAGCAGTACACTAACAAATAATATAGTGATAAATAGGCTTAGTTAAAGTATGCGTAAAGATTTTATGAACCACATCCAACTCTAACTAGGTAGGGATATTCATGACTAAAGCCCTATCCGGACAACAGTAAAAGAAAAAAAATATGACATCCCAAAATATGGTCATGATGACACCATGTAGGCACGTCATGACTATATATGGGAATACAACAGTTTTTTGTTAAAGAAAATTTGGTAGTGTGAATAGTTGAAGCTTTATAGTTCAACTGCCAACCTTGCTAGTTCATATGGTTGCTACGGTAGTTTCTTTTATGGATATTACTCTAGTCAATATTTCACATGTCATGCACAGAGTTTATATATCCTACCTGTGTGGAATTGCAATTGCAATCACAGCATCTTAACATTACATAATGACGAGAACAATGCACCAGCAGAATATAAATACTCACAGCTGTGCACACTTCTTAAGATCTGTCACCCTCTAAGTGTTATATAATTATATAACACTTGTATAATAATTAAGATTCACTCCTTGATTAGTTAGTTATAATTGTTACTGCTTTATAGAAACAACTTGTATGTATATATATATATATATATATATATATATATATATATATATGTTTAAAACATATTGTCTGCAATCTTGGCAGAAGGTAAGACCTATAGGGGCTGCTGGAATTGTAGGTAATGTGGTTTCTAAAAAGGGCCAGGGTACTTAAACACAGGGTCTACCTATATTCAACTTAGCTAACAAAATTTCTATAAACGCATTATAATGGTTAGGCAATACCACAAGTAATTGGATACTATTATAGTTATTGGTTTTACACATTAGGTTTATATACCGTATTGTCAGGATGAGTCAAGCACCAATGCTGGTGCCACTTGTTGTAAACCAACACCCCACAACCGTTCTGGTTGACGACAGGTTGTTAATAAACAGAAGGGCGCCACCATCAGACAAAATGTATCACAGTAAATCGTCTTTCCTGATTTTGACTTTTTTTTTATAATCACATGAATATATTTACAGATACATAATTTTCTAGCAACATAAGATTTACTAAATGTAATTTTTATAACTGCAGTATACTGAGTTAAAGCGACATGCTACTTTCAGCCTATTATTACAGTGCATAGGGAAAACAAAGTTTACTAGTATGAATTTTACAAAGTGACAATAAAAGAATCATATATCCTAATAACAAAATATTTATTTCCTCAAATAAGACTACAGCAGAAGGGCGAAGCCAATGAGGAACAAGGTTCCTATACAACATTTTAGCCCCAAACATCAGAAAAATACCATCTTGTATTGTAATAGATGAATGAATGACTAAAGGCCAACTCAGACAGCATCGTACGACGCAGCCCGACGCGATTTGTTGTCGCGTCGGGTCTGTGTGAGTTAAACGCAGACGCGATGGTGTGCGTCGGGGGCAGTCGCGTCGTAGAATATTAAACATGTTTAATATTTCTCACGACGGCTTAAGACGGCCGACGCTGTCTGAGTTGGAATTTAGACGGACAAAAATGAACTATACTTTTAAATGTAAAAGCAGAGACTCACTGAGCCCGACGGTTGTCAGCCGACACGATTCTATGAAGAACGCAACGCCACGACGCGCGCGCGCAGCGGATCGTTTGTCAATGACGATCCGGTCAGACTGCCGCCCTCGATCGTCTAGCGCTCTCAGGGTACGTAGGTGGATTCGTAGTACAACGTAGTGAGCGCCCGGCTTAAGGGTATCACTTTTCACTTTATAACTATGAATTTAAAATCGCTAATAAGTTAATAGAACTTTCGATTTCAAATATTGTCAGTCTAAAGACGGACACTGTCACTCACTGCACTGGCAGTCGTCGGCCGACGCGATTCTATGGAGAGCACAACGTCACGACGTGCGTGCAACGGAGCTGTTTATAATGACGATCTGTTACCGACAATCAGCAGACGGCGCTCACAGGAACTGAGGTGGATTCGTTGGCCGACGGTCGTAAGAGGCAGTGCAACATTTGCACTGCCGATTGAAAACTCATCTTTATAACTCACTATAGACCACTCACTTTCGTTCATTTTCGTTGCTCGATAGGCCAATATTTAGTTACACACATCATTATGACACCTGTGAAATCAATAGCTGACCGGCCTTGGTCGGTCAGTGAAACGGTGGGATGATGTGTGATTCTATTTTTGATCTGTTTTGTCGGTTATTCTGTTTGGTTAGTTTAGGTTATTTCCGGTCAAATTTATTTCCATACATTATTCACATATATTTTTCAAGCGCCTTGAGACGGTTTCGATCGTGGAAGGCGCTATATAAATATAAAACCATAACCATAACCATAACATTTCCAAACCATGAAGTTAAAATCGCTAAGTTATGTACAAAACTTTCGATTCTAAATATCGCCAGTCTAATAACAGATTACGATAGGCTACTCAGCGTCCCTGATCTATAGGCTTTAGTTTTTAAACCTAATAACCCAGATTGAATAGTTAATGTCAATTGTAATCTACCCCAGTGTGTATAAAACCCAGTTTTCCTTGAATCATTGTCTTTATATTATATTCCATGGATTTTTTTGGAGGTCTGCAAAGTCGAGTTTAAGCCGGTTTTTGTCAAGCATAACAAGAGGAAGATTTGCGGGTGAAATAAAGACTAATGGGACGGACGATCGTCGTGTTCTTCTTGATAAAGTTTGTCAGATTGCGTTCCTTAGAACACTGGCTACCTTGAACCAAGCAGACATCACAGTCGTACAGTCACCAGTTTACAATAGATATCAAATAAAGGACATTTACAATAAACTACATGACCTAGTACTGTAGTATAAATGAAAATAGGAATAAGATAAATCTTACTTCCCTTTTTTATTCAAATCTTTGATTTTAATTAATGAACTAGGTGTATACAGGCGAGGATGGTCTTACTATTAATTATTAGTCAATTAATTCAGCATTGAGAAAACATGTTAGGTGCTTTTCCGGAATTAAAACTCAAGTGTTCGTCTAAAAAATCTCCAATTAACATAGGCCTATCTTCAGAATCAGAACGAAATTTTTGTCATTGACTGAAGAAATGAACAAATAAACAACAACAACATTACGGTCAAAATATTTTTGTTAAAATTTGACATTTTTAACTTTAAAAAAAAAATATTAATAATTAGGCCTACCAAGCAAAATTAAACGTTTTAGCAATACGACTCAATTCGTCCGCTCTCTTTGAGAGATTGCCCGACGCAACTCCAATTTAGCAGTACAGTAAGCGGATCGTCGTTTGAAAATAACCCGTTGCGCAACGCCCTGTCGCGTCGCGAATCGCGTCGGCAACAAACACCAACATCAACATTGCTCTATATAATAATTATCGGTAGGCATAGTATAATGAGCAATGAACACGCGACGAACTACAATAGATAAAATTATTGTAAAGTGCACATCAATGACCTCGAATGCCCCGAGTAGCCGTTGTAAATTGATGTCCATTGGCTTCATTAAAACAGTGTAACAACAGTGTAATTTCAATCTAATGACACCTCATCGATTAAAATAATTGTTTCCCGTTTTTAACACGATTGAATCTATCTTGAAGAATTAATTCGCGGCAACTGCCAAACCATTGGTTTTTCTAAGTGTGCCTTCGGGCTAGACTTTTGTCTATTATTTTAACCACAAACGTATCGAGTTAAAAAGCGTTTGTGAAATGGAAGATGAAAACAGTAATAGGCCTAACAGAGATAGCATTGATGGACAAATTGTGAGTTCGATTCTTCAAGTGATCGTTTTCAGAACCTGTCTGTGTATTATCGATTTTAAAAATATTTTCCATCAGGTCAAAAATAATTTTAACGGCCGTTGCTGCCAATCGGAGAGGTCTTCGGGAACGACAAAAAAATATACACAGAAATGTCAAGCTAAATAATAGGCCTACTAATCTATTTATTAATTAAAGTTTAAGTACAATGTCCAAGGATAT